TAGCTAGCTAGCTAGCTAGCTCTTCTCTTCTGTGTTCAAGCAATGAGCATATCATCGTCTTCATCTGAACATATCTGACCAATGTCAACGCGGGGGCGACGCGCCCCCGCCAGCCACTCGGCCCGCGCTGCAGGCCGCAGCTGGTTGCGGGCCCCCTGCAAACCACCAAAAAACCCAAACCCCCAAACCCTAAACCCTAAACCCTAAACCCTAGAACCTCGTATTTGGCCTTATTGCCTGTACACTCTGAACCCTAAGCCCTAAACCCTAAACCCTAAACCCTGATAAATAATTGGCTGTATTACCTATACAGCTTTTGTGCTTGTTCTGAACCCAAAACCCTAAACCCTAGACCCTAAACCCTAAACCCTAATTACCTGTACAGCTCTGGTGCATCCCTCAGAAATGCCGAGCAGAGGTCTGAGAAGAAGAGTGGGAAACAAACGGCCAGCAATCTGCAGCACCTCTACGCCCCCTGCATTTGGGGTGTACAGACGCAGACAAACGTCGCGGGCAGAGCCAAACCCCCGAGACACGCAGCGGCATGCATCGCCCAGGCCTGCTGCTACACCTTCAGGCTGCAGAAAAAAAAAAACAGAACCAGCAGCAGCAACAGCAGCAGCAATAGCAGCAACAACAGCGGCAACAGTATAACAGTAGTAGAAGCAGCAGCAGCAGCAGCAGCAGCAGCAGCAGACGCAGATATGAATTGTTAAGTGCAAAATACAGCAAAGACATATCGCGCAGGGGATCTATACGGAAGAGTACCATAAGCAGCAGCGGCAGCAGTTCAACAGCAGCAGCAGCAGCAGCAACAGCAGCAGCAGCAGCAGCAGCACGAACCTCATAGAATCCTTCAGCCCCTAGATGCACAACGGCCCACTCGCTGCCGCCTTCGCTGTCTCGCGCCCCCCCCCAGCTGCCGCCCTCTGCAGAAGAAGCCTCATCTGCGCGCATGCAGCAGCCGCACAGCAGCAGCAGCAGCAGCAGCAGTAACAGCAGCAGCAGCAAAAGCAGCAACACCACCAGCAGCAGCAGCTTCCGCCCGCCTAGGAGAAGATCGAACCCTTAGAAGCAGACTAACTCCCAGCAACAGCAGCGCAAGCAGCAGCAGCAGAAGCTGCAACGCCAGCAGCAACAGCAGCAGCAACAGAAGCAGCAACAGCAGCAGCAACAGAAACAGCAGCAACAGTACCAGCAGCACCAGCTACGGAGTATATCCTTACAAGATGCATGTGAAGTTGGTGGTCTCTGCAGCAGCCGTCTGCTGCCCTGGGTGCTTGGGTTGTGTCGGCGTCTGCTGCTGCTGCTGCTGCCTGGCTGCTGCTGCTGCAGCAGCAGAAGCACGTCGCTGCCTCTGCTGCTGCGGGCACGGAATGTAGCCGAAGGATACGGGGGACAGCTCCCGGGTGTATAGGCACGATCCAACAAATACAGCAGTGTATGTACACCGCGCAGGGCCCTCTCAGAAAGACACCTGAAGCAGCAGCAGCAACAGCAGCAGCAGCAGCAGCAACAGCAGCAGTTCAAGCTCATGCGCAAATACAAGCGCTTATACTCCGCAAGGAGCCAGAGAGCAGCAGCAGTAGCAGCAGCTGCTGCTGCTGTAGAACCACCACCCCAGCAGCAAACACAACAGCAAAGGCCACAGTAACAGCAGCAACAACAGCAACAGCAGCAACAAAAGCAGCACACAACAGCAGCAGCAGCAACAACAGCACCAGCAACAGCACCACCAACAACAGGAGCAGCAGGACCAACAGCAGCAACAGCAGCAGCAACAACTATAGCAACAAAAGCAACGACAAAGCTAACGATAACAACGACAACAACAACAGCACAACCAGCAGCAAGCCCAGCAACAAAAGCAGCAGCAGAGCCAGCAGCAGCAGCAACGACAGCAACAGCAACATCAACAGCAGCAGCAACAGCAACAGCAGCAGCAGCTGACAAAAGCAGCAGCGGAACCAGCAGCAGCAGCAACGACAGCGGCAACAACATCAACAGCAGCAGCAACAGCAACAGCAGCAGCAGCAGCAGCTGCTGTGGGCGGCCCACGGCTGACTGCCCGCGCCCCAAAGACACAGCGCAACCCACAGGCCCTCGAATCCTGCGTTTGCTGCAGCAGCAGCAACATTCTTCGCCAGCAGCAGCGCGAGTCCTGGAGCATCTAAAGAAGAAAAGAGCTGCTGCATTGCAGCAGCAGCACGCTGGCCAGGGGGGCCCCCAGGGGGCCCCCAAAGGGGGCCCCCACGTGGCCTCCTTGCCCACCCCCGGCGCCTCCTGAACAGCCGCTGCAGCCAGCTGCGCAGTTTGCGGCCCCCCTTGAGGAGACAGCTGAGGGGGGGTACGCTGTCGATACACCTCAGCATTATGGCCCTGCAGCAGCAGCAGCAGCAGCAACAGCAGCAGCAGCAGCAAGTGCAGCAGAAGCATCAACAGCAGCAGCAGAAACAGAAATAGCAGCAGCAATACAGACACAGCAGCGAACAAAAGAGGGGCAAGTTCTCTCACTACCCACGAACACAAACTGAGGACTAAGTATCTGGTTGAATCTATGCAAACCCTGCTGCTGCTGCTGCTGCTTTTGTTGCTGCTGCTGCTGCTGCTGCTGCTGCTGCTGCAGTGTTTATATACCTGCTGAGGCAAGCAAGCCAGTGAGCTGTGAATTTGCTGAAGAGAGCGCCGACAGAAGAAATGTCGCAGAGTACTTGAGCAGGCACCGCCATCTCTATGCCTTCAAACCTGAACACACAAACCCTAAACCCTAAACCCTAAACCCTAAACCCTAAACCCTAAACCCTAGAGTAACATCGGGAACCTCTGGGGAGCCGATGAACACGACGGAGAGAAAGGAGAAACAGACAGAAGGGAGAAGAGAAGGGAGACAGATACAAGGGGACCAAACAACCAACAAAGAAAAGCAAAATATACAAATAAATATAACAAGTAAAAAAAAAACTACTAGACAAACTGAACAACACACAGAGGAGGAGACAGCCAAGCAAACAAACTAACGAGCAAATAAACAGACATAAAAACACAACACAAACAAAAAACACAAAAAGAGAAGAAAAGAAACAGACAAACAAAACAAACAAACAAACAAACAAACAAAACAAACAAAACAAACAAACAAACAAACAAACAAACAAACAAACAAACAAACAAACAAACAAACAAACAAACAAACAAGCAAACAAACAAACAAACAAACAAACGAAACTGACCTGCAGCAGGAGGCAAAGAGACTCAGCAGCTCTCTTATCTCCCCTCGGCTTATCCCGTTGGGGTTTGGGGGCCTCGCAGCAAAATTTAATTTTATTAAAACAGCAGATATCCGAAAAGACCTAAAAAACACTTCGTTGGGGGCCCCTGGGGCCCCCCCCCCACACAGGGCCCCCGGCGCCTCCCCGCCCCCACCGACGCAGGGGGCCCCCCGAGGGGTACTTAGCAGCGCGAAGGAGGGGGCCCCCACAATACGACGGGGGGCCTCGCTGCAGCAGCAGCTGCCGCTGCTGCTGCAGTTGCTGCAGAGCTGCTGCTGGCGGGATACCCTGGGGGGCCCCCTTCCATACCCAATGAAATCAAAGGGTACT